TTTATGTAATATGGTAAATTCTTTGTTGTCACTGTGACAATATTCACAGAATATTCACCAGATTTCATCTCAAGAAATCACTTTCTTTGCTCATCCATAAGAAGCAACTCTTCATCCATTAAAGTTTTATTATGAGATTGCAGCAATTAAGTTACATCTTCAAGCTCTACTTCTCTTACTACTTCTACCACATCTGCAGTGACTTCCTCCCCTTAAGTCTTGAACCCCTCAAAGACATCCATGATGGTTGGAATTAACTTCTTCCAAACTCCTGTGAATGCTGATATTTTGAACGCTTCTCATGAATCACAGATGTTCTTAATGGTATCTAGAATGCTGAATCCTTCCAGAAGGTTTTCAATTTACTTTGCTCAGATCCATCAGAGGAATCACTATCTATAGTAGCTATAGCTTTATGAAATGTATTTCTTAAATAATAAGACTTGAAAGTCAAAATCGCTCCTTGAACCATGGCTGCAGAATGGATATTGTGTTAGCAGGCATGAAAAACGACATTAATTTCCTTGTATATCTCCATCAGAGCTCTTGGGTGATCAGATGCATTGTCAATGAATAGTAATATTGTGAAAGGAATCTTGTTTTCTGAGCAGCAGGTCTCAACAGTGGGCTTGCTGTACCTTCTCCATCAGCACTTGCTGCTTCACCCTGCACTTTTATGTTATGGTGATAGCTTCTTTCCATAAACCATTATAGCAGAGAACTAATCTCTGCTAGCTTCAAATTTTCTTTTGCGACTTCCTCACATCTCTCAGCCTTCACAGAATTGTAGAGTTAGGGCCTTATTCTGGATTCGGCTTTGGCTTAAGGGAATATTGTGATTGCTTTGATCTTCTATCCAGACCACAAAACATTTGTGCATATCAGCAATAAGGCTCCTTCACCTTCTTATCTTTTGTGTGTTCACTGGAGTAGCACTTTTAATTTCCTTCAAGAACTTTTTCTTTGCCTTCACAACTTGTACCAGTGTTTGGTACAAGAGGCCTAGCTTTTGGCCTATCGTGGCTCTGACATGCCTTCCTCAATAAGCTTAATAATTTCCAGCTTTTGATTAAAAGTGAGAGACATGTGACTCTTCCATTCACTTGTACACTTAGAGGCCAATGTAGGATTATTAATTGACCTAATTTCAATATTGTGTCTTGGGGAATAGAGAATTCTAAGAGAAAGGAGAATGGATGGTGGAGGGAGCAGTCAGAATATACACAGAACATTTATTAAGTTCAGTGTGTTATAAGGGCATGGTTTGTGGCACCCCAGAACAATTATAATAGTGACATGAAAGATCACTGATCATAGATCAATATAACAGATACAGTAAAAAGTTTGAAATATTGCAAAAATTACACAAATGTGACACAGACAAAATAAGCACATGCTGTTGGAAAAATGATGCTGATACACTTGCTTGATGCAAGCTGCCATAGATTTTTGACTTATAAAAAATGTAGCACTGGCCAGGTGCAGTGGCTCACGCCTGTAATCCTAGCACTCTGGGAGGCAGAGGCGGGCAGATTGTTCAAGGTCAGGAGTTTGAAACCAGCCTGAGCAAGAGCAAGACCCTATCTATACTATAAATAGAAAGAAATTAATTGACCAACTAATATATATAGAAAAAAATCAGCTGAGCATGGTGGCTCATGCCTGTAGTCCCAGCTACTCAGGAGGCTGAGGCAGCAGGATCGCTTGAGCCCAGGAGTTTGAAGTTGCTGTGAGCTAGGCTGACGCCATGGCACTCACTCTAGCCTGGGCAATAAAGCGAGACTCTGTCTTCAAAAAAAAAAAAAAAAATGCAGCACCTGCAAAGCCCAATAAAGTAAAGTACAATAAAATAAGGTATACCTATATTTCTTCTTCCCCCTCCCCTTTCTTTCTGAAATACAAATTACATATATATTAGATCTTTTGAACATATCTCACATAGTCTCTGTTCTTTTTTTCATTCTCTCTACTCTGTGAGCTTCAGTTTGAATATCTTCTATTGACCTGTCTTCAATATCACTAATTCCCTCTTCTGCTGTGTCTAATCTTCTATTAAAACCATTGTATTAGTCCATTTAGCACAGTTATAAAGAAAATACCTAAGGCTGGGTAATTTATAAAGAAAAGAGGTTTATTTGGCTCATGATTCTGCAGATTGTACAAGAAGCATTGTACCGTGTCTGCTTCTGGTGAGGGCTTCAAGAAGCTTCCAATCAAGGCAGAAGGAGGTGAAGGGGGAGCAGAGGTGTCACATGGCAAGAGAAGGAGCAAAGAGGGGGAGGAGGAGGTTCAAGGCTCTTAGACAATCAGCTCTCAAGTGTGAACTAATAAAGTGAGAACTCATTAATTATCTCAGGGAGGGCACTAAGCCATTCATGTGGGATCTGCCTCTATAACCCGAACACCTCCCACCAGGCCCCAAATTCAACAATTTGGATCAAGTTTCAACAGGAGATTTGGAGGGGCTAAACACCTAAACCATATCACCCATCAAATGAGCTAATTTCAGATACTGTATTTTTGATTCTAAAATGTCCACTTGATTATATTTTATTTTGATTTTCCAGTAAAATAGAATAGTACCTGTTGTTTTTTTCTCTTTTCTTCTGTTAAAAATATATTAATACATTATTTTTAAATCCTTATTTACAAACTCTAACAGAAGGACCATCTATGGGAATGCCTTTCTTGTTTTCTAATTATTGGTTACCTGTTCCTGTCTTTCTGCATGTCTAGCAATGCATGCCTCTCTTTTTTCCCCTACTTATTATACTGCGTGCATTGACCTGTGATTTACTATCCTTGTCTTGGAAGCAGAAGTCCTCCCTTATTCCTGGAATTCCTCCTCAGTGGTATTGAACTACCACTGCATTTATTTATTGAAAATCTGCTTGAATATTACTGGGTAAGTCTGGTTTTTATTTTCATCACCAAGAGTACTATAGCACCTTACCGCTCAAAAGCCATCTAACCATTTCTTCTATTAAGAATAATGAACAAGGCCAGGCGCGGTGGCTCACGCCTGTAATCCTAGCATTCTGGGAGGCTGAGGCAGGTGGATGGCTCAAGGTCAGGAGTTCGAAACCAGCCTGAGCAAGAGTGAGACCCTGTCTCTACTATAAATAGAAAGAAATTAATTGCCCAACTAAAAAATATATAGAAAAAATGAGCCAGGCATGGTGGCACATGCCTGTAGTCCCAGCCACGTGGGAGGCTGAGGCAGTAGGATTGCTTGAGGTTGCTGTGAGCTAGGCTGATGCCATGGCACTCTACCCCAGGCAAAGAGACTGTGTCTCAAAAAAAAAAAAAAAAAAAAAAAGAACATTCATGATTTGTGGGAAGAGGAAAAAAAAAAAAAAAAAAAAAAAGAATAATGAACAAGATAATCCTGATAGGCCAACATCAGTGGCACAAAACCAATAAATTTTTACTCACAGAATTTCTTAAGAATAAATACACACACACACACACACACACACACACACACACACCTCTGATACACTGTGCTGTAGTAGATAGAGCACAGAATTTAAAGACAGAACGCCTGAACTAAACCTCATCTCTACCATTTACTAGCAAAGTCATCTTAGGTAGAACACTTTGAGGTAAACTACTTTGAGTTTTGGTTTTCATTCATAAAGTTATGGCAAAGACAAAATAGTACAATATATATTTTAAAGACCTTTGTAAACTATGCCTTACATAATATTACATGGTTTACAAATCTACCGATCAAAAGCCATAAATTAAACAAACATGGAGACAGGTGTAACAGACACATGGACAATAAAAACTGACAATCTACCATGTAACATCAAGGGAAGAGTGAAAAAGCTATTTTAAAAGTACCAAAAAAACTTAGGGTAAGCCAGTTAATATAGCCATAAACAGCTACTACTTATTTCAACAGACCCTAGAGCTATTACTTTACCTTAACGTAGTAGTGATTAGTGTTTATGACAAGAAGTTTGAATCTGAAAGTAATACCTTGTATATTATTAAAATATAAAAATGTCTAATAAACTTTGGAAAGACTACAATCAAAAATAATTAAATAAAAATTCTGGCTGGATGATTTGCAAGTGGATTTGTTTCTACTTAGAAGCCTTTATGCCACGTGACCATATGAATAAGTCTGTGAATAAAATTAAGTATCTGCATCATTAATTCACTTAATTCACTTCATCATTAATTCACTAACAGAAAACTTTGTAAAAGGTATTTTTCAGACGTCTTAGAAGAAAACAATTAACAGACTGTGGCTAAAAAAAGATCACAAGAGAGAGTAAAATCAACATTCTCAGAGAGCAAAAAGTAAAAGGAACGATGGGATGGCTGTATGAAGGAAATGTCAGAGAAGGCATGTGGCACAGGTTCTTGTTTTCAAGAATCACTTGGGGAACTCTAAAGATGGAATAATAGGGTTGTGAAGTAGGTAATACACTAAGCTTCAATGATGTTAAAATTTCTATGTTAAAAATTTTTATGGGGAAATAGTGAAGTGAAATAAAAGTGAAGTAAAATAAAACTTCACTTCACAGAAGTGAAATAAAACTGTACCAAAAATGGTTGTAAGTATATTTATGAATGAGTTAAGGCAAATTACTCCAGAGTTGACCATGGAAACAGACTTAAAATATCAGAGGTATGCAAGAAAAAACAGGATTTCAAAAAAGTACTAAATAAAGGAAAAACAGAGCTAGGACCAGGATCTTTTTCATAAATTTTGCTGTAACACTAACTGTGTAGACATGATTTCTCTAAACCTTGAAAGTGATAGGCCAAAACTAAGAGTCATTTCATCCTATATTTAAAAACAGATTAGAAAAGGCAACAGTTGCCTAATTTTTACATACATTAAGATTTCATTATGTGATGTTATTATTTGCTAACTAAACCAAAGGTTTATCAACCAACTTCTAAAATAGTAGTATCTGAAAAAATCTCTATAAAGACAATTTTCAAAATAATTCAGTAATCTTATGAATAAACCAATATACCTTAGCAAGTGATTTTACAATAGGATTCTCCATAATTCCCTTGAGGAAAATTAGGTCTATTTCTTCTGCTCCTGTAGATGAGGGCAGCTCCGTAAGGTTTTCCAAGACTTGCTGCATTGCTCCTGAAATAAAAGCAACATAAAAAAACCAAAAACTTAAATTCCAAGCCATTATGGGGTAACATATTTTAAAAATGCAAATAAATAGACATTAAGAATGCTCTTTTTAAAAATCACATTTTAAAAAACTGAATTGTTAAACAGTGTGAATTTCAAGTTGACTTTCCCTGAATTAGAAGGATAGATTTTTATATGCAATTTGGGCTTTATCAGACTACCTATACATACTTACAACCTTGCACTTGCTTTATATTTTTCAAATTTAAAAACATTACTCAAGAAGAAATATAAAATCTGAATAGACTTATAAAAAGTAAAAATATAGATTTACTATCAAAAAACTCCCCACAAGCCCAGAACAAGCATTCAGTGGTGAATTCCATCAAACATTTAAAGAGGAATTAAAATCAACACTTCACTAACTCTTCCAAAATTAGATAAGGGAACATTTCCCAATTCATTCTATGAGGCCAATTATCCTGACACTAAATCTAGACAAAGACAGAACAAGAAATTATAGCCAATATATCTTATAAATACAAAAATCTTTAATAAAATCCTAGTAAACTGAACCCAGCAACATTTAAAAAGGACTGTACACAAGGACAAATTTCAGTTTATCCTAGGAATAAAAGATTCAACATATGAAAATCATGTATACTATATAAACAGAACAAATAAAAACCAAATGACATCAATAGACAGACAAAAAAGTATCTGACAAAGTTCAAAACCTTCATGATAAAAACATTCACTTAATTAGAAATAGAAGGGAAATTCCTCACCCTTAATAAAAGGCATCTATGAAAAACCTCACCTAACATCACACTTAACAGTGAAAGACCATTAAGCTGTCCCCCTAAGGTCAGGAAATAAGACAAGGTTGTCTACTTTGGCCATTTCTATTCAACTTTGTACTGGAGGTTCCAGCCAGGGCAGTTTATCCAGAAAAAGAAATAAAAGGCAACCAGACTGGAAAGAAATAAGTAAAACTATCTTTATTTGCAGATGTTATCCATCTTGTACATGGAAAATCCTTATGCACAAAAAATTTATTAGAATTAATAAGTTCACCTAGGCTTCAGGATACAAGATCAAAACACAGTAATTGTACTTCTATATACCAGCAACAAACAATCCAAAAATGAAATTAAGAAAATCAGTCTTTTTATAGTAGCATCAAAAACAACAAGAAATTAATGTAACAAAAGTAGTATAAAATTTGTACCCTGAAACTATAAAATATCATGGAAAAAATAAAAAATTACCTAAATAAATGGAAAGAGATCCCATATTCATGGATTGGAAGACTTAATGTTATTAAGATGGCAATATTCCCCAAACTGATCGACAGGTTTAATGCAATCTCTATTAAAATCTTAGCTGCCTTTTTTTTTTTTGCAGGAATTCACAAGCTCACCTACAATTCATATAGAAACACAAGACATCCAGAAAAGCCAAAATAATCTTAAAAAGAACAAAGTTGGAGAATTCACACTTCTCAATTTCAAAACTCATTAAAAATTTATAGCAAGCAAAACTCTGTGGATGTAGCATATAGACAGATAACTAGAGTCTAGAAATAAATCCATAAATTTATGGTCAATTGATTTTTGACAGAGTGGCAAGATAATTCAATAAAGAATACTTTTTTCAATAATTGGTGGTAGAACAACTGGATATGTACATCTAAGAGAGTGAAGCTAGAATTCTGCCTCGTTCAATATCAGTCTTAATTTTATTAGGACTAATTTTATTAGTTTTAAGTCCTTTTGATGTTTCTTTAGAATAAATTTACTCATATAACAATTGTTTTTAATATTAACTTTTTTGTTAAAATAAAATACACTGCTGGAAGTCAGATGGTACTACTAAATGGATTATAATGAAATACAGTAGTTCTTTGTTCCATGCTGCCCACCCTTGTGCCAACTTATCTTATTCCCCCAAAATAATTACTATGCATTTATTAGCTGTTTCTCTTAATCAGATCTATTAATGGTTTCTTTTTTTCCTGGATAATATGCTAATAGTGCTACTTTTTGATTGACTCATTTTGGACATTATCTGTTTTCTGTTAGAATATTAGAAGTTTAAGCTTTTACCTTCTCTTCAGACTCTCAATCTGTTATAAAATCAATAATGATTTTAATATGGAATATTTTTCCAAATGTTCCAGCAAAGTTTTTCACATTTCTATATTTTTCCAAAAGCTAAAATATTTTTCTAGTACTCTATCAGATCTACTTCCTAACTCCTACTCCTGATTTCCATCCCAAAGCATTCTTTTCTTATGCTTAAATGGGACAGGTTCATCTATAGGTCTCCTACTCAGTCTGTGTAAATGACTGACAATTTTGGGAGAGATGAACAGGAGCATAATGTGCACTGGAAATGAGGAGGAAAACCAGTATTGGACTAAGTGGAAGAAAAAAGACAGTAGGAAAGAAAGAATATAATCAACCATTACTTCATAAAGTTGTTTAACAAAGTCCAAAGTACCTTTATGTGGGCCGAGAACAATAAAATCAATTTCTAAAAGTACGTTTGCCCTGTTGCTATAAATATACTTAGCTCTACTTCTCATGATTACTTATTTCTCTTTCCTTTGACATTTTATATTTGTCTTTATTTTTAACTTTTATTATGAAAAATTTCAAACACATACAAAGGAAAACAGGATAATACAATGAACTCAATAATCATCAGCTCCGATTAGCAACTCATGGCCAATCTTGTTTCATACCCCTATACACTTTCTACCTTGCATGACTTTGAAGCAAATCCCAAATACAGTATATATAATCCCAAATCCCAAATACAGCACACATGTTCAAAAGATTAGACTCTTTTTAAAAACAATGTAAGCAAAACACCATTTGCATACCTACAAAATTAACAATAGTTCCTTAATGTTATTATGTATCTAGTCAGTATTCAAATCTCCAGTTGTACTGAAGAGTTAAAGAAAATGTATCTTCTATCAGTGGTCCCAACTGTTCTGGCACCAGGGGCCAGTTCATGGAAGACAATTTTTCCACTGACCTGGGTGGGGGGATGGTTTTGGGAGGATTCAAGTGTACTACATTTACTGTAAACTTTATTTCTATTTTCACTGCATTGTAATATATAATGAAATAATTATATGAATCCCCATAATGCAGAATCACTAAGAGCCCTGAGCTTGTTTTTCTGTAATTAGACGGTCTCATCTGGAGGTGATGGGAGACAGTGATACTCGAAGTGTGTTGCTGATGTCCAGTCTACTCCATAATCTTGTTTTGGTTGCTGTCACTGCAGAAAACCCTGCTTCACAAAGATAGGAATGGAAGCAGGCTTTTCAGTGATTTTGTGACAATCTCAGGGTATTCCACCTTGACTTTAATACAGAATGTATGGAGATTTGAAGTTGTCTCAAAATTACTTTTAAGGCCAACGTCATTTGTGATCTCAAGTAGTTGATCCTCTTCTAGCATAGCCCAAGTCAATTCACCTGGCTTACCCACAAATGGGTTGCATATCCATTCCTTCCCAGTTTGGGGGTCTTTAGTGGTTGGTCTTTAATGCTCCAACTCTTCTGAAAGCTGAGATAGGTGATTATGCACCAGCTGAGGGAAAGAAGGCCCTGGCTCAATCTCTTTCAAAATCTCTGCTAATGTTTGAAGCATGTCAACAATCTCAATGTTCACTCATCATCCCCATAATTTCAGTTTGGCTTTGAAGCAGCCACTTTATCTGCCAACTTGAACACAGTTGTCAATCTCCCCTGAAGTGACAGGTTGAGTTCTTTGAGCAGGTTGAATATGTCATAGAAGCAAGTTTTGTGACCCATTCTGTGTCACTGAAATATACGGCCAGCAGTGACTATTCTAAAAGAATCTGTGGAGTGGCTCTCATAACTCAAAAACTCTGGCCAGTGATCTACCTCTAGAAAGCCATCTCACTTCTGTGTATAAGAGAAGACATATGCTCTGCATCCATTTCCTCACAGAGCTGTGCGAACAGATGTGGAGTTAAGAGCATATACTTTAATGTGATTGATCATTTTAATCACATTCTACAAAACATTTAGTTCAGGTGACATTTTTTGGCTAGCCAGCATTTCCCTATCAGTGATACAGTGCATAGAATTACATTCAGAAGCAACCTCCATGACCCGAGTGGTGAAACCAGAAAGCCATCCAGTCAGGCAGCTACTCTGTGCATATATCGATATACAGTGACTAGTTCAGTTTTCCTGATATGTAATCATTCAAAGACTTGAATAGTTCTGCAGCTGTGATGTTGGTTGGCAACAAAAGTGCACAGGACATATCCTCAAGCACATCCTCCTGAAAAATATATACCGCAAAAACAAACACTGTTGCCTAGTCAATATCAGTAGACCCATCAACCTGGATTGCATACTACTGTTACTCATTAATTCTCTCTAACAATTGTGCCCCAATATCCTCTTCTAGTTCATCAATTTGTCTAGTTATGGTGCTAGCCAAAAGAGGTGCCATCGTTTGGACTGCAGCCTCTCTTAAAAGTTCAAGGCAATTGTCCTTAGCAGCTGGCAGGATCAATTTTTCACCAATAGTAAAAGGGCTTTTTAGCTTTAGTAATGCGGTTAGCCACTAAGAATGATGTTCTCAGTGCAGACACATTTGATGAAGTGGTGGCCTTCAATAATTGCTTCTGTTCTTTGTGTTCACATTTTTTTTTCTTTTGAAAAAAAATCCAAAGGCTTGTCTTTTACTGCAGGATGCTTGGACTCCATGTGGCAAAGCAGTCTTAAAGGTTTCATGGCTTTTTGGATAGCCAGTCACCACATATCATACAAAGCAGGCTTGCAGAATGTGAATCACCTGTTGCAATGAACCTATAACTTAAGCAGGACTCTTGGTATTTTCTTTTAAATGCCACTTCCATTTTGTTGGCAGTCTTAGAGTCTTCTGCTATCTCATCATTGGGTATTTCCCCCTTTTCAAAGCAGCTCTCCAGCAATGTTTGTTTTTTGC